ACTTAGTTTTACTTGTTATTTCTGATATATCAAAAAAAGATAATAATTTTTTTTCATATTTTATTTTTAACATTGAATACTTATTTTTCAAAATAAGTAAAAATAATTTGAAAAAACATCTATATTAATAATTATTTTCTTACAGTGTATCTAGTCAGACTTTTACAAGTAAAAATGGACCACGGGAGTAATAAACATTTCATAATTTGGAGCGGAAAAAAAATGTAATTTATGTCATTAATGGGACCAGAAAACAAAATAGAAGTCTTCAATGATACTTATGGTGGGAATAATAAGTCAAATATTATTGGGTGCTCATAAAATATTTTAATAAATAAAAAACCAACATGCAGGATATTTAATTAAGGAAAGAACGAATTTTAGTTTGGATTTCTATTTTTACCTTTAATTTCCTTGTTTATTTTCTTAAAATATTCATCTTCATAGGAGCTTTTTGATAGTAGCCGTAATCAACAACCATCAGCTCTCGACTTGTTGTTAAAGTGAGAGCTTCAAGCTCGATTTCAGGTGACGCACTTTAAAAGTCAAAATTCAATACTAGTATATTATATTACCTAAAGCACACCAATATAATTATTTAATTAAGGTAAATGTGAACTCAAAGATAGAATATAGGGTATGAAATATGAATGTATTACTATTATTTAATTAAAGAGGACGAATATACTAGAACTAACGACTTTTACGTCATTCCCCGGTTAAGCATTTCGTATTTTATTAAAAAAAATAATTATGACCTAATTTTTTTCCTTCTTATTATTATTAGGTACACAAAAATGAAAATGTGGTTTTGAACAATTATTTTTTCGACCATACTAAAGTTTAAAGGGATTAGGGACCATATGATAGCAACTAGACACGTGAAAGTAAATGTTTTGGGCTCCGTTGTCATTTAATCTCTTCGACTTATGTTAGTTGCTTACGTTATTAAATATATAGTTATTCAAATTTACTAGTCAAATTTTAAAATCAAGATAAAATTAATTACATTCTTTCCATTTCATTCTTATTTATATATTTTTTTAAGTGTAAACAAGTTTGTAAAGTTTTTCAAAAGTTTCTCAAGTCGTAAATTAATAAAACTGTCTTTATTTATGATTTCTTGAGGGATATATGAGAAAATGAACAATTAATATAAAACGAAGAAAAAAAGTCTAAGAGTAAAGTCGTTTTCGCATAGGGGAACACTCCCCCAGCAAAAGATTGGCAAAATAAAAGCAAAATCTATGCGTTCAAATGCCATGAGTTTAGACTCTTAGCAACTTTTGCTGACTAATATTCTGTTATTTTAATAGCAACTAGACACTATATTAGTAGTATACGTAATTGTCTAAGCAATAATTTATGTACTTAATCAACACGCGCAACAAAGGGCAGATTCACAATGCAACATACATGTGTTAGCCTGAACGCAATAATTTTTGCACAAATTCTATATTTAACTTGATATAGGGTGTGTTTGGTATGAAAGAAAATGTTTTCCTGGAAAATAAATAGATTTTTGATTTATTTTCTCATGTTTGGTTGGTGAGTAGAAAATATGAGAAAATAATTTTTGCACAAATTCTATATTTAATTTGACTTATTTTCTCATGTGTGGATCATTTTCTTAATCCGCTCCTTTTTTTTTTGGTTACAAAACATAGAGGAATTTGTTTGTTCATTAACATTTTCTAGCGATGGTTTAATTGTGGGAAACTTACATATGCTATATTAAGAAAATATTTACCATTTATACCAATAACATTTTTTTTTACTTGATCATTTTAATACATTTATAATACAGTTTTAGTACGTATTACAAAGAATAATTTATAAAACAGATATAATTCAAGTTTTATTGATTGATATTGCATTTATCACACATTTTAATACATTAATAATACAATGTTTTAATTTCTTATCAAACAAACATAATATATTCTTAAACTGTTTTAATACATAAATATTGCATGCATAATTCACTTTTAATACATATTGCAGATTTATCATAGTATTGCTATATTACTATATAAGAAGAGTGAATAAAATTCACTCTTCTTTCGACACGTGGCACCAAGATGGCCCACCTACTTTTATATTTGGTTTTTGAAGATGGCCCACCTATCACAAAGATGGCCCACCTACTTTTATACACTCCTCTTTCATTATATTTTAATTTTTTCCTTTTTAAATAGTACTAAAAAATAAATTTAAAATATCACAAATTCGATTAACTCTCAAAATTTTACGCGAATTCTATAACTAAGACGAAGGGAATAACATATATTATTTGAAAAATTACTATATAATTACTACTCTTCTTATATAGTAATATTTTAATTTTTTCCTTTTTAAATAGTACTAAAAAATAAATTTAAAATATTACAAATTCGATTAACTCTCAAAATTTTACGCGAATTGTATAATTAAGACGAAGGGAATAACATATATTATTTGAAAAATTACATTAAGAATACCATAAACCACAATAGTTAACAACTTACAATATTTGAAAAACATATTAACTCTCAAAATTTCACATGTGTCACATAAATTGGGACAAATGGAGTAACATATATTATTTGAAATTACGTTAAGAATATTATTAATCACAACTTAAAGTATTTAAAAATACATAACATATATTATTTGAAAATAATGTAAAAAATATTATAAATCATAATAATTAACAATTTAACGGATATTGTGCCCGTGCTTCCATTTAGAAGTGAGAATGTTTAGGAGCTTAGGGTTAGTCAATCAATTGACCGATTTGCCCTTCTTCTTCAACTTCCTCTATTTACTACAAAAATAGTACTAAAAATCAATTTAAAATATTAAAATTTTGGTTAATTCTTGAAATTTCACATGTATTGCATAATATAATAAAGTGAGTAATATATATTATTTGAAAATTATATAAATAGTACTAAAATATAGTTTAAAATAGTACTAAGAATTTGATTAACTCTCGAAATTTCATATGTACTGCGTAATTGAGATTGAGTGAGAAATATATATTATTTGAAAAATAGAATAAATATGTGATATTATTAGAAAGAGCTTTAGTATATATTTTAAAAATTATTTTGTCTTCCGTATATGATTTTCTACATATATGTGGAGTTTTAAAGTTTTTAACATTTTAATATAGAAATATGATTATTTGAAAATTTTAGTACTTTCTTCATTTAAATTTTTCCTTGTTTTTCTTTTAATTTGTTCTAGATTTAAAAGTTACATAAAAAGTACTTAAAATCACAATGTAATAATATAAGATATTAAAAAAACATAATTAAAAATCATAAAAGAAATTTTATTGACTCTTTTATTCCATATTGAAACAAAAGAAGTTTGTTTGAAAATAACATAAAAAGTAACGTAAATTAAAGTAAAATAACAACTAAAAATATTTAAGAATCATATAAGAAATTTAGTTGAGTTTCATAAAAGTACCTACGTCACATAAAATGGAACAGAAAGAGTAATATATATTATTTGAAAATGATATAAGAAGTGCTATAAATCACAATAAATTAACAACTTCAAAATATATTTAACAAAATCACATACAAAAAATTATATAACTCTCCAAATTTCATCGGTGTCACATAAATTGAAACAAAGAACTACTCCCAATTTATGTTATTTACTTTCCTTTTTAGTCAGTCCCAAAAGAATGTCACATTTCTATATTAAGTAACAATTTGATTATAAAATATTTATTTTACCCTTAATGAAATAATTTACAGTCATACAAATTTATATCATTCATTTTGGACCACAAATTTTAAAAGTCTTCATTTCTTTTTTAAACTCCGTGGCGAATCAAACTACCTCACATAAAATGAGACGGAGGAAGTAATATACATTGGGCCCGCGCTGGCGCGGGAACCTAATAACTAGTATTTCTATAAATGACAATAAATAAAAAGAATTCTAAATGGTTGTATTTAAAAACAAATTATGCAGTGTTTGAAGAAAACATAAACTAGCCCAATATCTGCTTTGGGCTGAACTTTGAAATGCCTACAAGAGTTATGGGCCGCCTATAAATTAGCCCAATTAAAGTGATCTAATTTTCCGATAGAAATTAGGGAAATTTTACGATAGAAATGGTGTCCACTGCCCTTTCTTGGCCTTGTTTTTGTATTTTAAAAATTTTATGACATCATTTTGGAGCTTTAATAGTTGAACTTGAAATTTCACGAACAATTTTGAGATGCTGATACAATTGGGGGAAATTGCACTCCAAATGTTAGTTATTGAGGTAGTAGAGACTAGAGCCCAAGACTATATAACTATCCCTTTGCATTTATTGTCCTTAATGAATATGCACGGGGTAATTTTCACTTGATCATCTCACAAGTAGGTAGCTTTTTTCATGTAATCATTTTTAAGATAGGTGTCAAGAAATCCACGATTGTCAATATCGGCGTCACTAGCCTTCGAATGAAAGTTGCAATATTGGCGTCAGTCACTATTCGTGGCTCAATGGACATGGAGGTAATGGATGACTTTGATACAATAGATACAATCTAACGGAAATCTCACTCCAAAAATTAACTATTAAGATGGAAGAATCCAAGGTTATATATATTCCACACAATTAATACAACTCAGGGAGAAAACGCATCTTAAAAATTACACAACTCAAGATTATATAAAACCATATCAACACATTTTTATACGTGAAGCTTAAGTCGCATAAGATACAAACAAGGGCTGAGCCAAGTAATGTCAAGGAGTTCATTTGAATGTTATTTGATGAAAAATTACATTATTTATATATGTGTTTTTAAAATTTTTATGTATATATATATTAGATTATTTTTTATGTTAAACCCTCCTTTTATTTCTCTGTCTTGCTTTTTATATTTTGAACCTCGATTTGACCTAAAACTATATATTACCCGAACACGTGTAATGTAATACAAGATTAGTATACTGGTCTCTCCCACATAGGAGTTGCCCTCCCCTGCAATTGCTCTTTCGAGTTTCATCAGTTAGTAAGGTAAGTGGTTCAAATTCAGTGTTGTTTGTATCATTGCTCTTGGAATTATAAGTGTACCCTTTTGCTTTTATAGACAAATTTTTACTCGGAATCTTCCAAATTGTTCTACAGGAAGTCTTTAATTATGGTCTGTAACCTGCTTAATTCACCTGGGCAAACCAGGTGATTTCTTCAATCCTGGAAATTTTGATTTTAGGGTTTTCTTTTTCTTGATTTGGGGACTCCATATTATACTGCAATGTGGAATCTTGATATGCCTTCTCTCTCAATCTTGAACTGTATAAAGAATATTATAACTATAGGTCCGTTCAACTAGACTGATTTTACGATGCCTACTTGAATCCATCTTTTTATGTTTATGATATTTTATTACCAATTTGGGTTTCGTTTTATCCTTTTAATCTCTTTTTGCTTTATTCTGATCATACAATCTTGATCAAGAAAATGCTGACATATTCTGAATTGGACTTTTAATGGCAATGATAAGGTTCAAGGTGGAAAATATCGATGGAGTTAGAGGAAATATGGCTTCATACAATTCAAGAAAAGGTTTCCATAGGATGCATAAGTCATTTTCAAACCCTAATTGGAAATACAGTACCCCATGTACCTCTTGGAAAATATTTTGTGGCCCTGAAAATTTGGAGGAGCGATTTTCAGTGGTAGTATCGGAGAAAATAGCAGACGCTGGTCTGTCTGATCCTGAGCAACCTTTGAGAAGCGAAGAGGTAAGAATTTTTATAACCCCTTTGCAGACCTTTATTAGAAAACAAAACCTCATACAAGAGCCAAATGAGATTTTTCTTAGTTGAGAATAATCTTTATTGTTGCGGCAAGTATATTGAGCTATACTGACTCTCTTCTATCTTTATAGTTGAAGTTATTGCTTGCCAATGCTGAAAGATCGAAGCTTCTCAAGAAATTGAGTGAAGCCAACCGATATAATCGGTTGCTTAAGCGAGAGGTATATATTTTATTGGTTTCATATTCAATCTCGTAAGTTCTTCTTATGGGACTGATAAAGTGGATGATTCTCCATTTGAGTGTCTTTCACACATAAAGTTAGTGCTCTGTGAGACATAAGTTACCTACACACTCAGGAAAGGACAGTAAAGTTACAATCTTTCCCCTTGTGAGTATTATGAGGAAAGCCGACCGTGAGAGAATATTTTTGCATTCTCTTAGACCTCCTAGTCCATCCCTTCTGGCCCTCATTAATATATAGTAAGTGTGGGAACATGGTCTCTGATACTCATGTCTTGTTAATAACTCACACGGTTAGGCCTTTGGAAGCATATTTGCAGCTTATGTCAGACTTTTGTTTGAAGCTAACATAAAAATCAAGGTGGGGGATTCTAGATATACATGGTTTTGGAGAGATGCTTGGAGATAGGTCACAGAGCTTTCAAGATCAAATATCAGAACCTTATTAGTTTCACTACTAATACAGGTAGTCTTGTCTCAGATTGTTGGAATGGTGGATGCTGGTGCATTAGTTTTAGAAGGATTTGTTTTGATTGAGAGATACCTAGAATGGCTCTCCTATTGGATGATTTAGATAAGGTGGAGCTTAATGTGAAGTATCTTGAGTCTATAATCTAGGGAAGTGGGGATCGACGATGATATCACACATCATATTGGTGCAGCGTGGATGAAGTGGAGACTTGCATCCGGAGTCTTGTGTGATAAAAAATTACCATTGAAACTTAAAGTCAAGTTTTATAGAGTGGTGGTTAGACCAACTTCCTTGAATTCCGGTGTTTAGTTTTATCTAGTAAGATCTGTTTCTGAGATTTCTGGATGCAATAGGTGAACTAAACTCATAGATAGTTGGTTAAATTTAATGGTTTATGACTACAGAAAAATGATGGAAAATGTGCTTTGCATGTAACCTCTATTTTAATTTTTTTTTTTCTGATGATGACAATTAATATGCCATATCACTGCAGTTGCAAGCTAAGGAGGATGCGCTGGTTAATTTCAAAAGTGAACTTTCAGTCACCGAACTTGAGATTCAGGTTTGCTTCTTCTACATTGGTGTTACTGTAATTTTATTGCTTCAGATGTAGTTGTAAGTATTTGGCGCATTTGCATACAGGTTATAACAACCTATGGTTCCTTCTGTTGTGAGGATTTGTGCCGTAATTAACTAGAATGGGATTTATGCTAAATGAAATTGTCCGCACTTTGAAGATGAAACTTACCGGGAACTAGAAGAGAAAATTTAAACAGTAGATAATCCAACATTTGTGTGGGACTTCAACTCTAGCAACTGGCATTAGCAGCTTATGTAGTATAAATATAGTTTTGTATTTTATTTGACCTGCAGGTTTTGGCTAGATTGGCTGAAGAAGTTGCTAAATCTGCTATCCCAACTGGTTCAAGAAAAATTAAAGGGAGATATATCCAGTCACACCTATTTTCACGTTTGGAAGGTATTATTACCTTACTGTATCCTTTCTTAAACTGAACAGCAGACTCTTTCCAATGAGAGACAGTGCCAACCTTGTTAGATTGTAGATAAATGTTCATGGATGAATTTAACCTGACATTTCTATGATTGCTGTCTTGATACTTCCGTTCTTAAGCCATACGCGAAAAATTGAAGGAGCAAATAAAGGGCGTGGAAGCTGTACAAGCCAAAGAAGTTCCTTTATCCTGGGTTGGGGTAGCAGAGGTGAGTTATTGAATAAGTTTCTTCTGTATCTGCTAACCATGTTGGAACATGGAATTCCTGACAATTGAAGGCTGTACAATTGAAATGACATGCATCCCTCTACCAGCTTAAAATTCTTGTGTGCATTGTGAAAATTGAAAACTTTGAAGCTGTTTCAGTTAGTCTGGTGCTACTATCTTATTTGTTGGAACCTGAAACCGATATAGTGTCTCCAAATAAAGTAAAAAAAAAAAAAAGCCTTCATCTAACTTTTCCCTTAAAAGTTTTCCCCTTAGTTAAATTGGAAACCTCTGTTGAATGTTGATTGCGTACTTGTCTTGAGAACAGAATAGGTTGTCTTATCTTTGGAGTTTCTTAGCTTTAAGTGGCATCCCGAGTTTCTTGCTTATTCATTATGTAAACACTTTTTTTAATAAACCAAGCCTTTCGGTTTGAAAGAATTTAGGCGATCCAATCAGATGATAAGATAGAAAAGAAGGTTTAATGCTTTTCTATAGATTAACTTTGCCCTAGCTGGATGAAATTCCTTGACTAAGAAAATTAAAATTTTTAAGTCACTAGTGGGATTCCCACTGTGGGAATCAACTCTACTAAGGTCTAAGAGTGGTGATTCCTCTATTTTTTTCCCTCACTTTAACAAGTTACTCCCTCCATTCATTTTTACTTGTCACTGATTGACTTGGCACACCCATTAAGAAAACAATTATTGTTATAAGTATTTTACCAAACTATCCCTATTAAATGATGTTTAGAATTAGGTCTTGGAAAATGATTTGGAGAAAAAGTATTTAATGCTGAGGGCAGAACATGAAAAAAAATTAATTGTCTTTTCTTGATATGTCAAGTGACAAGTAAAACTGAACATTTAATTTAGGAATAAGTGTCGAGTAAAGATGAATGGAGGGAGTAGATTTTTTCATAGCAAATGAGTCTTGTGTACCATGTGTGCTAGCATATATATTTACTTCAAGAAAATACTTCCCATTATTGGTGTATCCTGTGAGATCAACTTTAAGGTAATGCCTATGTAATAATGTAGGTGCAGACAAAATTTTGTAAAATTTGTGAAGTAGGACCTCAGTCCTCTTATAAACTTCTTCGAGCACTAGGTGAAAGAGATGGAGGTCTGCATGAGGCATTTGGCTATTTAGACTCAACCTAGTGAGTTGTTGGCTAGGGATACTATTTCTATTGGGCGAGTCCATTAGGGCACGGTTGTGTATAAGATGTTTCTTTTATGCTTCTAAGGAGGATGGCATGAATTGTGAATCCCCCCTCCTCCCTGTTTGGCATTTTTAACAACTGCATGATTTATATTTTGATTAGTAAAGATAAACACAATGGAGATAATGCTTGAAACTGATGGTCCGTAGATTCCTAAATCGTATGGCTGGAGTAGTATTAAAGTTTTATTTGCTCAAGTTCTTAGTTCCTGCCAAATTCCCTTTATGTACAAGGACTTTCAATCCAGAAGTTGGCACTGAGTTTTCTACTATTACTTAAAAATGTTTTTCATTGGATACACGTTTTGGCAGTCGATTACAGAAGGCATTAAATATGACCTTGAATTTTGATCATCTTTAGAGTGTGCAAGTAATGGGCTCCTTTGATGGTTGGAGTCAAGGAGAGCACTTATCTCCAGAGTACACCGGCTCTTATATGAACTTTTCAGCTACATTGTTCCTAAGACCTGGAAGGTACGTTTCTCTTCTGCCACAGAGTAATCTGTCATTGCAGTCTCTCTGAACTGTCAGGTGAAATTTTTTTCCTTTAAAAAAATAATATATTTGTGTTTTTAGGTACGAAATTAAGTTCTTGGTAGATGACGAGTGGAAACTATCCCCAGAATTACCAACTACGGGAGAGGGGTTAACTAAGAACAATTTATTGGTCGTGGAATAGCTCATTTAGCTAGGACAGGATGTATATCTGCTGAAAGTCTCTACTCTAGGTGGAAAAACAACTTATTAATCGTCGAACAGTTCCTGCTGGAAGGTTAGTGTGGTAGGAGTGAAATGCCGTCTCTTTGAGAATATGATCTCAGGCCTCTAAGCATTGTATGTATGATACTTAACTATAAGTTAGCTTTTAAGTCGTACAATTGTATAAGCTTCAGCCATATATATGTTCATTCATGTTGTTCGTTTCTTGAATTTTAAATAAGGGAGGATTTGATTCAACAGGTAGCTCATGAGGTGGGATTGCTCAAGACATCTATTAATATTGACTTAAGGCCTGTTTGGAAGCTCAAAAATTATTTTTCTTCTTTTCAGAATTGAGGTGTTTGGCTGAGCTTTTGATGGAAATAAAGTGTTTAGTTTTCCCTTTTATTTTAAAAGTTGTACTATCATCTAATGGCAGACCACAAATTTAAGTACTATTTGGCTGTCCATAGATAATAGTTACTGTAAGTGAAATGATTCTTTTCGATTTCTCAGAGGAATCTGAAAATAAATGTGTCCAATTTTGTTTAATATATGATTTACATCTAACCCACTTCCATTCTTAGTAGTTAGTAATCCGTACATTAAACTTTGATGATTCTAAAAATGAAAAAAATCAGAGCCGCGACTTTATTATTTACTAATATATAACAACCTCAACCTCCCTAATATTATAGTAGGCAGCTGCTATAATATTATGATCTCACAAATGGGTTGGTTGGTGGCGTTGTCCTAATTAACAAACGAAAGGCCATTTCTCATCAAGAATTATAGTTTACTTCATGCCTGCTACTTGTTTAAGTTTATATATTTCTTTCGGGACGTTTGCCAACTTGTTATGTCTTTTTTTTTCTATATTAGCATATATCCTTAATAGGTCTTGTTTCTATCTTCTCTTTTTTATCCGATTGGGATCCCAGCAGTCAAACCACTGTGCACCCTCCTTCCAATCAAATCTATCCTTCCAATCAAATCTATTCTGTCCGGAGGCAGGGGAAAGTAGGTTTCTCTTTTTCTATTTATCTCTTCATTATTTGTTTCTCATTTAATTAGCCGTCCGTATAGTGGCGAAGCTAGGGATTAAAAAGATGCAAAAAATATCTGATGATTTAAATGTATGACAAAAAGTTCCACCCTGGTGGTTATAAGGGGTCGTTTAGTCTTTTTATATGATTTTTGACAATCATCATCGGATTGAGTCTGGTCCAATGTTCATTATTTTTCAGTTGCATTTGAACTCTTTTTCTAAACACTCTATATCTTAAGTTAAATTTTATTTACATAGCTTCTTTGTGAATATAATTTACTTCTTTATATTTTGAATTCTACGGTGAACATCATGGTTTTGTTCCTGCCCATCACGAGTCCACATGACTAATTGTCCGTGTATATATATAATATGCTTGTAATAACTTTATTCTTTAATTGTAAACATTAATTTGGTTTGGAATACGTAGAAGTTGTCATATGCTGTCTAGTTACGTAGATATATATAATAGAAGAAGAGAGGCTTAGCATTTGCCAAGAAGGAATCCAGTGTCCATTTCAAAAGTCCTGTACCTGAAGCTAATCTTTCTTTCTTTCTTTCATTGATTTGTAGAAGAGAACCTCAAGGCTTGAATGGTTCATCTCATCAACTATTGGATGCCCTCTCTTCTTTTTCTCTCCTTTGGATCTGCTTGGTGCTATCGTTGCATCGGTCTTGACCCTTGAGATTTTCGTTCCTTTTTCCTTGTACCAATAAAACTGTAGAAATCATATCATATACTCCGTTATGTCAATAAAGAAGGTGAAGGTTACTAGGTTGTTGATCACGGTTAATGTCTTAGGAAGTGCTGGACCGTTGAGGTTTGTTGTGAATGAGAATGATAAGGTTGCTAAGGTTGTTGACACTGCTCTGAAACAATATGGTCGCGAGGGACGACTTCCAATTCTGAGTTCTAACGTCAATGATTTCCTTTTGTACTCAGCTAGTGCTGGAATGGATGGTAAGTACTACACAACTTTTCTTAGTTTCATCTCTCCATCGGTTTCTTAAACTTCGAGAGGAGAGGAGAAGATCAACAATATTCTCACTTACTCTTATAGGTTGCAAAAAGAGAGAGCCGAGTCAAATTTAACTGGTCTTTCCTTGTAATTACCTATTCTCTTGTTTTATTTAGCTTAGCTTACTGATTTTCTTAAAAGAAAATAGTACACTCTATTAGCTTAAGTTACCTAATTCTTGTTTTACATAATTCTCAATCACAAAGTTAGATTTTTTATGTTTGGCTTGAGTTACATTTTGACCCATTAATTAGGTTACTGTTGCTCATATCCTCAAAAAGTAATACACGTCATATTTTTGAGTTTGACCTAGTAATTTGATGGATTATTATTATTTCGAGTTCAATCTATTAGGTCAAGTCAATAAACGCGTCATAACTCATTTACTAATTTTTCAGCTCTGGGAGCATCAGACTCGATAGGGTCACTAGGAGTAAGGAATTTCATCCTTTGTAAGAAGCAAAAACAGGCAGTGATGACAGAAGGAAGGGCACAACATGGAAATGGGAAAAGGGGATGGAAGGCTTGGCTCACTAAGTCCTTTAACTTCAAGATTCATTCCCATTGAATCACACATGCACTACTCTTTGTCAATTGTGGTAATTTCATCAAGCATTTGCACTTGTAATAGACATGATAATTACATAAAAATAAATGATGTACACATTAATTCCTAAGTTACTTAAATGAGAGCATTCAATAAGATTGAATTCCACACACAAAATTCTTTACTACTCATTCTACCACATCACTCTGTTTGAGGCTTCATCTAGGGTGGCAATTGGGGGTTGGGTCAAATTTGGACGGATTATAATGGGTCAAGACAATAAACAAGTCAAGATTCAATCTAATTCAAATTTATTTGGGTCAAAACCGCCGGGTTAATACTCAATCCAACTCAACTCAATTTTTATTAAGTTTAATTATTTTATTTTATTTGTTCTTTTAAAATATTTTAATATCTAATAAATTTATTTTTCTTTAATATACACAACATTATTTTGCATTTATGCAAGAGGTTATTTCCATGACTTGAGTCTGTGACCTCTTGATTGCATGGCATCAACATTCAGATTTTAAAAAGAATATTTGAATGTTTTTAAGTTGACGCGTTCCATATAATGAGAAATCTTCTTTTATTTTCTATATTGCTAACCACTTATTTTTAAGGTGCTATCAATATCATCTAATGTTAAGGTCACGAAGTAAAATAAACATACAATTATTCCCATTATTTAAGTTATCATTGACTTGAACAGTACTCATGATTATTGTAAGGATTCTTTTCAATTTTAAAGAGAAATCTATAATTGAAAAATATAATTATTCTCATCGACTTTAATATTATATCAAAGGGGAAGGTATGACTCGTCCTAAACAGTAATAGAAAGAGCATTACTCATGATCATACGGATTCAGCCGACTATAGTAATTTTTGCTCAAATAATGTATTTGTGTTAAGAAATTCATTAAATATGTATAAATATTAAGTTCAGAACCCAATTATTAATCCTTAAAATAGTCATTTTAAAATTCATAACCCATAAAATTAAAATACTGGCTCGACCTTTGATAGCGACTACTATAACTTACTTCATACCTTGTCAGTTAATAAAATTTATATAATTCTTTAATGTCTGGAATATTTGTCAACTTGGTGAAATTGATTTATGTTTGTACATAATAAATTCAGTAACATCTAGGGATTTATGTAAGGTTCCTTTGAAAAGAAACATTTTATAATTCTTATTCTTCTATTGTTAATTTTTTTTCCAAAAGGGGCATATTCTATTGTTATTGATAGAAAAGAAGTAGGAACGGTATTACCTAGTACAGGAACTAAGTAAAAGGACTAATTGCATGTTAAGTCTAATTGCATCATAGTACAAGTAAGTGTTGTAAACATCAATTTGGTCAGAATACATACATGAACTTGTCATATGCTGTTGCCTATCTGGTGCTATTTATCTAATGGGTTTATAAGTTGTATATATTGCGCTTGCAAAAATTATCTACACAATCAGGTCATTTATAAGATATTTGTAGGTATAGTGATATTACTACAGTAATAACAACATATCCAGTGAGATCCACTAGATAGGTATAGTGATACTACAACAACAACAACATACCTTATATCTCATATCAAACGACTCATGCAGTATATAATGGGAACGGGACCAAAAAACAGAACAAGAATCCAGAGTCACATTTCAACAAGGACAGCCTTTCGTTTTGAGTTGTACATGTACCAAAAGTCACATTTAACTTTTCCCCAGTTTCACACCTAGCTTGAAATCAATTGGAATAGATAGAAAGTTCTCCCCTGTTTGTACCTTAATTGTCTGGTTCAGATCATGAACTATAGGTCTTACTTATCCGTATTCAACATTAATGTAGAGTAACATATTGTGCCTAGCAGATTAGTTTTTTTTCTTCCTTCATGCTTAGTCCTGACATGATGTCATGTTAGGAGATATAGTTATGTAAATAAAATTAGCATATTGTTACAAGTTCAACTGTTTAGATGAGGTGATCACAATTTAACAAGGTATCAAAAAAGACGATAAAGGTCATAAAAAATCTTTGCACGTGTTGGGAGATATAATAAAAGTGTATTTTTTAGATGAGTTGATCAGTATTCGAAAGTTCAATTTAATGATTTTTATACATTTTAAATCATGATTTTCAGCTCTGGGACCATCAGAATTGATTGGATCACTAGGAGTGAGGAATTTTATTCTCTGTAAGAAGCAAAAACAAGCATGGATGATAGAAGGAAGGGCACATGGGAATGCTTGGATCACTAAGTCCTTTAGCTTCAAGATCATTCATTCCCATTGAATCACTTTCTTGTGTCTTTGTAAATTGGGGTCTCGTCAATCCTCTAATAATTTTATTCTGTTTTCCAAAATGGCCCTGCGCGATCTAAATTTAATCGAGGTTCCAATGTCACGCCCCGAGCCTACACCTTGGGTGAGACTGGCACTCGAAGACCATTGCTGACCCCAAGCGAACCCTTGGCCTGACTTACTTAACTCAGCGGAAGAATTAACTCAACAAAATAAACTCATGTAATAGTTTAAATGATAACATCTTAGCCAAATTGGCAACTTCTATTTCAAAACAAAGTTTCTGCAAATACATAGATGAGAGACTCATAACTACTGTCAGACTGTCTATGAAGCCTCTATAATACTGAGATGGATATTGGGACAAACCCCATAACATCCTAATAAGAAAAACCAGGAAAGCGAATAAAAGAGTCCTTCGGATTGCAAGGAGGCTCACCACTGACTCTGGAATGCTCGACTAGATCAACGGCGCGCTGGATGCTGATCCTGGTTACCTGCGTCTGCATCATAATAAGATGCAGGCCAACTGAATCAGTACATTGAATGTACGAGTATGCGAGTTGGAAAGCTAAACAACAACTTAAGCTTGAAATGAGTAAGAAGGAACACTTACCTTGGCTCTGTACAACTCATGAATAACTGAACTCAATATAAAGCAATAAGACACATGTAATATATATATAAAACTTATAAAATAGTGTAAATAACTTAGTTCGTTAAAGATAAAGCAATAACAAACTCAACTTTACTTATATATAAAAGTAATATAACTTTTGTGGGAGATTCTTTAACCGACAACCACCACTATGAGCCCTAGTGATGATACAACGTTTTACCTCACGTTACCCAAGAACCATCCTATACCTCGCCGTGATATATGACCTTACTTAACTTAGTAGATCCACTATCTTTACTTACGTGATCATCTAAAAAGTATGACCCGTTAAATCCCATGTTTGTCTACATGGTTCTTATGGAGAGTTGAGTTAATATGAACTCACGTCCCCAATTCGGTGCTCAATACTACTCCCAAAATATACTTTAGCTCATATGTGTTTTAAACATCTATTTCTTTAGTTTAAGATAATTGCTCAAAGATTAGCCCAAAGGCTCCATTGGAATCAATGTTCCTTTTACTGAAAACTAGCTCAAAGGCTCTTTTGTAAAACATAGTTCCTTTCTTGCTCAAATGTGAAAACATTTATAAACTTCTTTGGGAATACTTAGTTCCCTAATAAATTTTTAGAAATGAACTCAACTCTTTACTCTTTACTTTACTTGAAACTTGAGCCTTAAAACGAAGTTTAAACGTTTAATAAAGACTCTTGAAAACTTTAAGAAACTTTGCTTTGACTTGCTTCTTAACTTCTAGACTTGACTCTTAACTTTTTTTACTTTGATCTTAACTTTCCCTTAATTGGATTATGGATTCAAGGTTCATGATATCATGTTTATAGATGATTTCATGATGTTTAGATGTACCTTAGAGTGTTTGAAACAACTAGAAAACATAGGTACATCGCTTAGGAACAGGTATGAAAAGGTGAGGAACGAATGGGGAGAACTGGAGTCCTTGGCGCTCTGAGAGGCGCGGGGAGCCAGCCCTCAAACTTCAGAGAAGTTTGACTGGCGCTCTGGTTGGCGCGACACGCCAGAGGCCAAACTTTAGAGAAGTTTTTATGGTGCTCTGGCAGGCGCGACTCCCAACCTTTTTTTGCCCAACGACTTCCGACTTTTCTCTTTCGTTTTTCATCTCTAAACTCCCCTAACTTCCATAATTCTTTTCCCAAACAGTTAGGATCAATTGCACCCTCAATATACAACCAATCTAACTCGAAAAACAACCCGAAAACATGAATCAACTCACCCTCAAACATCAACAACTCAACCAACAAGAATTCTACAGTTTGTTCTTCAACATGTACACAACTCAAAACCAATGGATTGAAACAAGTTGGTGTGTGGGTGAACTAACCCAACACGAAAAGATCTCACATACCTTAATAGGGATCACCCCCGACGAATTCCACTCGCAAGCTTGGATGATCTTGACGAATTCTTGCGTCTTTCTTCCGTTCTTTCTTCCTTTCTCTCTTCTCCAAGCCCTAAGCGTTCTTTAGTTTTTCCAAAACTGATTTAGGTTCTGTTTTTACCCCAATAAACCCCTAAAAACGAATTAAGAAATTAAGTAGAGAAAAGACTACTTTGCCCTTCCCTAAATCCGGATTGAGACTTTTCTCAATCCAACAGCCCAACTTCTGAAAGACATATATCACTCATATGATGTCGAAATCAAGCAATCTCGACGGCGTTGGAAAGATCTTTCCAAGGGATATCCAACCATATCAAGAGCTACTACTAAATCCTCCTGAGAGAGGAGTTATGGCCGTTTGAAAATGGCCAAAACTCACTTTCTTAACTTAGACAAAATTTCCAGATTTCCTTATTCTTTCCAAAAATTAATATTTTCATATTTTAAACTCTTTATTGTTGTTTCTAGGTGCGAGATGTTACAATATCTCCCCCTTGGGAACATTCGTCCTCGAATGAGCTTTATTTCACTAAGCTAAGGGTAGCAACATCAAGTTCAACACTCAACAAACAAAAGCAACTACCAACATGCATACTCATAATTTAGCTAGTACTAAGAAGAGGATTAGTACCTTGATCTGAATTTTCTCCGAATTCAAAGAGATGTGGATATCTCTTCTTCATATCCTCTTCAGCTTCCCAAGTAACTTCTTCAACAAATTGGTTCCTCCAAAGGACTTTGACTGATGCGACCTCTTTTGTTCTCAACTTAAGAACTTGGGAA